TGGTTTCCTTTATAAATCTGTGCATTTTATTTTATACGTTTAAATTATTCTGAGAAGGAATCCAAAGACTTCATCAGACTGTCAGAGGGTTCTGTGACACAAAAAAGTTAAGAATCCCTGATCTATAGAAATTCTCCTTTGGACTCTGTTTTTTTTCCTATGCTGTATTGCTCACCTGTATTTGCTATAACTTTATACATTGAGATTTCATTTTATATACTTTGAAGCAGTGATTATTTTGTATGCATTTTGTAGAATGCTAAGAGTATGGAATGATGATGTAATTAATATATCTACCAAAGCAGATTGAAAATAGATATTAAATTTTTCACCATGCTTATGTCCATTTTAAAATCTAAATCATGAATATTTGGAGGAGATATAACTTGGCTGTGTGTCTTTGGAGGATAGTATCACCAAAACAACATACTTATAATTTGTTTCATTTAAATAAACTTGGTGGAAAGATTGTGACTACTAGGGCTTAGAGTTATACCACTCTCTTCAGAGATAGAATCATCTCTGGACTCTTCCTTCAGCCCAGGACTCCACAGAGGGATCCCTAGAGTCCTGCAGAGACCCTCCTAGGTAGTTTTAACATTATCTGACTGAACTTCATAGTGTCCATTTCCAGGCCAGACTCAGTCTTTCCTGAGGCCCTTCGGTATGAGAATGTTTTTAGGATATTCTGTTTGGGTCTAGCCCTCTATCCTTTCCATCCCTAGCCTTATCCAAATAAGTAGCTGCCTGGTTAAGCCCAGCTTGAGAGAGAAGGCTGTTCTTAAGCAGAGCCAGCACAGCACTCTAAACCTGAGCCAAGCAGAGCCTATGGTCTCTGGCCTAGTCCCAACAGCTTCCAAACCCAGCATTAGCCTGGCAGAGAGAGAACAGCTTTGGGATGTTCCAGGGCAGGAATAGTGTGGCTGAAGCCCAGCAAATGGCCTGAGGTAATATCTAGTCTGATCTGTTCCAAAGCCTACTCCAGTGGGAACCCAGCATGAAAGTAGCTTCTGAGCCCAGAAGTAAGAGAAAAGGACTTCAGGCAGAGTCTACAGCAGAGAGAAGTAGTGGAGTCCTATAACAAGAGGGAGCCCTTGAGAGCTCAGCACTTGGGGTAGCCCTAGCATCCCTTGAAAGAAGGACCTAATTTGGCCCCAGTGTACTTAGGACCAGGCAGCTGCATCTTGCCCATACCATTCTGTTTTGGAGCTTGCTTCAAGTTCATCTCCTGTTCAGCCTGGCCCGTACCCCCTAACCCCCCAACACACATACCATTCTTACAAGGAAAACTGAATATCATGAGGAAATACCTTGGTATGAGAGAAGTCCAAAGGGTAAACCTGGAAGAGGATAATGAACCTACAAGAAGACCAAAATGCCTTGGCCCCAAGGACTTCAAGAGGATCTGGAAGAAATGAAATGAGATAAAGAATAAAAAAGCTAGGGGGTAGAAAAACTGGCATGGAAAACTAACACCTTAGAACAGATGGTTAAAGACAGACCTTTTTCAAGACCTGAATGCTCTGAAAACTGGAATAAGCCAAATGACTCAATAAGACAAGAAATATCAAAACAAAAGTTTTCAGAAAATTATAAATGAAAACTAGTGGCCAAAAAGGAGTTCAAAACCAAGGAACTACAGTAAGGATTGCATGAGACTTAGCTACTGCTTCAAGTGAGAAGAGGAGAGCTTGGAATATTTTTAGCAAAACAGTAAAAATGCTGATATGCCTTTGTTTCCTTTGTCATTTCATTAAAAATCAGTGGTGGTGAGAGGTAATAAAATGTCTGTTATCTCCTGGTTTTATCTCTGTTTCTGAAACAAATGTTGCTGGCAACTATAGAAAGAATAAAAGAATGCCAGAGCAAAGCCATTCTTGCAGGATGTAATATTATATGGAGTGGTTAGAATTTTCATAGGAAGATACTTAGACCTTGAAAAGCTACTTTACCCCTGAGTAAATAATGAAATAAATGAAACCTTGGAAAATTAAAAAGGCAGTTAGGGCAATCAGTCTGTTTGAAAAATTCCAGTGACAGTCTTCTTTTCCCTTTACATCTTATATCCTATCGCTTCTCAGGTCCTTTTCATATTTTTCACTGGTGCCCTTTTTACTACATTGGACCATGGCAATATCCTTCCAACAAATCTTTGCACTGTATCCTGTACAATCTAGTCCTCACAGTGCTCTGAAAATAACTTTCTTATAGCTTACTCCTTTGATCAAAGCCTTCAATGACATAGTCTCTCTTTCAAAGTACAAATTCCTCATCTTGTCATTCAAGGCTGTCTATAATCTGACATCTACCATTCTAATCTTATATTATTCACTTCCACAAAATCTTTGATCCAGTCAAACTGGACTACTTTTTATTCATTTGCTTTTTTGTGTCTCTTTCCTTTTCCTCCCCCCCAAAAAAAAAGGAAAGGAAAGGAAAAAAAAAACTTATAGCAAATAAACACAGACAAGAAAAAAAAATAAATTTTCAACCATGTCTCCAAATGGACTTCATTCTGCATATTAGTATATTTCCTGTTGGAGATAGATAGCCTTTTCCCCTTTTGGTCCTCTGGAATTATGCTTGATTGAATTCATACATATCTTTTAAAGCACCATTCAAATGCTACTTCCTTTATGAAACTCACTGTTAGACATTATATAGAATTTTATATTTCTCCTTTGGATTTAATGTATATTAATTAAAGCAATGTATATGTTTTAGCAAGCTACTAGACCATAAATTGCTTTGATGGAACTTACCTAAATTTAGACTTCTCCAGAGTTTAGCGTAGTGTTCTTTGAAAACTTCAGATAATTACTTAATTTGGACACGATGTTAGTAAATACTAGGGTACCTCACTAGTACCCTTTAAATGCATGAATTATAAATAAAGCACTTTATAAACTATAATATATAAATATGAGTTGTTACTATTATTTGTTACTTATTTGCCAATAAAGGAAAAAATAGTGGCTGACCATTATTGGATGGGGAAGGAAATAGGTACAAACTCTGTGGTTAGGGTTGTATTTTGTTTATAATTAGGGGCTTGCTATTGTTTCTTTGGGCATAGAATAAATAGAGGAGAAGGAGATAAGGGGATATTCTTGGAATGAGACAACTTGGTTGTAGTGGTTTGGTGTCTACAGGTGCCCCCACTTTGCTATATTGTTTGTAGAGTTGGTGGAAGGCAAAAAGTTGGCTTGAACTTTATGTTCTGAATGTCTTGTGTTCCTGTTGATCAGTGGTTCAAAATTTTCAGCATTGATAATACCAAAAGAGAATAATGATTTCATACTTAAAGTTTGACTGTGACCAGAGACCATTCATATAGGAAGACTGCAATATCTTACCTTTCTGTAAATAGCTCCATCATCAGGTTTTTATCCTGTGCTTGCAAAAAATTAAAAAATAGGAATTGAGGCTTTTCAATAGGTTCCCTGATATATACTTAAAAAATTCACAAATTTTGCCTAAAGTTTATATTGGCTCTTTTTGTGATTAATATTGTGGTTATTGCTGTTTGAGGCAATATGTCATATTGAATAGAGTTCTGGACTTGGAATCAGGAAGATGTGGCTTCAGATTCTACCTCCAATGCATGCTGTGGACAAATTGTGATTTCTGAGCCCCAGACAGCTCTTTCTCTTGAAGTTACTAATGTGTTGGGGCCCCCAGTATGTGAGATAAATTCTTAAGATAAAATCACAGATCCCAGTGATGACATCACGGATCTTTGACTTGTTTTTGTTAGTGTGTGGATGGCAGAGCTTTATTTATTTACCTTGTGATCATTGGCAGAGTTAAAGCTTGTCTAATTATAAAAAACAATTAGAGCCCCAGAAAATAGTGTACCATGGAGCATTATTCTTTTCAAGCATTTGTATTTGTGTGCGTGTGTGTGTGTGTGTGTGTGCGCGTGTGTGTGTGTATAACTCTCTTATTACAAAAATGAACCTATATAGAGTCTCAATTATCCTGTGTTGAAATATGAAAAGTTTTAGGGCCCACCTGTCTGCTACCTGATTGCAACCATATTTTCCTGTAGGCCATGCTCTTTTAGATCTCACTTCTGCTGAGGAAAACTTCTGTGTTTTTCTTTGATTTTTGCCTATATTTTGTTAAGCCATCAAGCTATTTTTGTTAACAGACTAGCTTATGAAACTTTGTTCTTGTCTCTTCTTTACTTTTTTGATTATTCAGTCATCTCTCTGTATTAGGCAGACAGAGCCAGGACACAGGTTGGAGGAACTTAATGTGTAACATCTAGAAGTTTTATCTGGCAGCCCAGTGCAGTTGAAATCTTATCACCTCAATGCTGTAGCAAAAATAATGACAAAAATATTACCAGGTGTCAGCTGGAGGTACTCTTTCTTTCTTCTTCTTCTTCTTCTTTTTTTTTTTTGGTGAGGCAGTTGGGGTTAAGTGACTTGCCTAGAGCCCCACAGCTAGGAAATATTATGTGTCTGAGGCTGAATTTGAACTCAGGTCCTCCTGACTTTAGGGCCTGTGCTTTATCCACTGCGCCACCTAGCTGCCCCTGGAGGTACTCTTTCTTAAATCAATAGTAAATATATAACACTTCTTTGCAAAATTGTAGAGGATATGACCTGTATAATGGATTTTTGAATCATTGAGATAAAAAGTTTTCTCCAGATTTTTGTTGTTCTGTGTGTGGTGTTACATAAAAACTTTCTAATAGTGAGAGAAGTCCTGCTGCCTTTTTCATATGTGTACTAATACTCTTTTAAAGTGTATTTTGAGAAAGGCCTTCCCCTGTGGTTTTCTGTAGTGGTTATATACCCAGTTTCATGTTACATGTATAACATTCTAAAAACATATCAAAGGAAACATACTATTTACACACTAATTTACACTTACGCATACTAATAATTAAATGATAAGCACACAGAGAATGGTATTGTAATAGAATTTCTTTTATATCTGCAGATATTTTTATTCATATACTTATATTAAAAATTCCTTTTTATTTTTAGCTGTGATGCTGACCCATCAGCTCTAGCTAAATATGTTCTTGCTTTGGTAAAGAAGGATAAAAGTGAAAAAGAGCTGAAGGCATTATGTATCGATCAACTGGATGTATTTCTTCAGAAGGGTGAGTGGGAATTGTTATCTTTATTTTAATAAGCTTTAAAGATATTTTTTTAAAAAAACATTAATCAAATAGAAATCTAGGTGGAACACAGTTTTAACAAGCAGCAAATAATAGTATCACTTGTCATATTCAAATTTTGCTAACATGAAATACTAGGCCACATTGTCATCTATAATCCAACATTTTTTTTTAGCTTGGTCTTTTTTTATTACTTGTGTAAGAAAATTGCTGAGACCATAAAATTGTAGTCTTATTTAAAGTTTTATTAATTAAAAATTAAAAAGCATTATCATAATTCTGGCATAAATAATTTGTTACTGTGGAATATTGGATGATTAATAGCTTAGAATTGTCCCTTAACCCATAGGTTTTCTAATTTCTCCTTTTAGAGACACAGATATTTGTAGAAAAACTTTTTGATGCTGTGAATACGAAGAGCTACCTACCTCCACCCGAACAGCCATCATCAGGAAGTCTAAAGGTAGAATTTTTTCAACACCAAGAAAAAGATATAAAAAAGGAAGAGGTAGGAATTTGGGTCATATCTTACAAGCTGTTTAAGTTGTCCATATGACATCAGCATTAAACTATATGAATTTTATTTGCCATATTGTCTTGGAGGCTTATAATCATGCTGTTATTATTGCTAGGATCAGATGTGCAAAATATCTTCTTTACTCTGCAGTATTATTAAATGCATGTAATGAAAGAATCCCACTGTAGTAAAAGAGCCAAAAAGTCAGACCTAATCTCAGACTGAAGTAAAAGCTCTTAACTTTAGACTTAAAGGATCCCTGAAATATCATTTTCTGTATTTCATTTTTGTAGGACTTTTCTATTTTATTTACTGCTGCCAGTTAACACTGGAATTCTAGTAGCCATCTACTAGTGTTTGAGGATTGCAGTGACAGCAGTAATAATTCATGGAAATAGAGCCATCGTGTGTTCAGTCAGAACTATTATGTTATTAGATTTTTTTTTTTAAGAAATATTTGGGGCAAGATGGGTAACAAGAAAGGGGGTAGTCCCCTTGTTTGGGGTGGATGGTGTAATATTAACGACGACAGAGAGAAAGTGGAACTACTCAACTGCTATTTTGCTTCCGTCTTCTCTGTCAAGGAGAATGATCTTCAGACTGGAAAGGATAGAACAAACATGGTTAAAAGGGAATTGGAGCCAAAGATAGGTGAGGAGATAGTGAGAGAGCACCTAGCGACTCTAAAATGAGTTCAAGTCTCCTGGCCTGGACGAATTACACCCTAGGGTGCTGAAAGAACTCACAGATGTGATCGCTGAACCGCTGTCGGTGATCTTTGATGAATCGTGGAGAACGGGAGAGGTGCCGCGGGACTGGAGACGGGCAAATGTCCCAATTTTCAAAAAGGGGAAGAAGGTGGATTCCACAAACTACAGACCGGTGAGCTTCATGTTCATCCCAGGCAAAATTCTAAAACGGATTATTAAACAGATGGTTTGTGAGCACTTAGAAAGGGAAGCAGTGATCACTACGAACCAGCATAAATTCACTGAGAACAAGTCATGCCAGGCTAACCTCATTTCTTTTTTGACTAGGTTATTAGAGCATGAGAATGCTATAGAAAATATTATATCTGGATTTTAACAAGGCATTTGACAAAGTTTCTCATGGTATCCTTATGGACAAGATGGAGAAATGTGGGCTGGATTATAGTACAGTTAGATGGATTCAGACCTGGTTGAACGACTAGCCCCCCAATGTATATTGATTAATGGATCGACGTGAACCTGGAGGGTGGTCTTCAGTGACTTGCCAAAGAGCTTTGTCCTCTGCCCTGTCCTATTCAGCATTTATATCAATGACTTGGATGAAGACATTGATGACATGCTTATCAAGTTTGCAGATGACATGAAGCTGGGTGGGATAGCTAATATATTGGATGACAGAATCAGAATCCAAAATACTTTCATCGGATTGGAATGATGATCCAAATCTAACAAGATCAAACATAAACGGGATACATATAAAGTCTTGCATTTAGGTTGAAAACAGTTAACTGTGCAGAAGTTCAGATTGGGGTTGATATGGCCAGAAAGCAGTTCATATGAAAAAGAATTATATTTTTCTTAAGAAAGCTGAGTATGAGTTGACAGTGTTATATGGCTACCAGAAAAACTAATGTAGTCTTAGGCTGCAATAATGGAAATATAGTATCCTAAACAAGTAGGAGGATAGTTCCACCGTATTTTGCCCTGGTCAGACCATAGCCTGAGCATTGTGTTCAATTTGGATTCCACATTTAAAGTTGGATGTGGAAAAATTGTGGTGTATCTAGGGAATGGTAACTAGAGTGATTAGGATATTGGAAGCTATGTCCGGACAACATTTAAATGAACTCAGGGTGATTAGCTTGGAGAAAAAAAGACTAAGGGAGACATGATAGCTGTCTTTAAATAGTTTGAAGGGCTTTCATGTAGAAGGGAAATTAAACTAATTCTGTATAGCTCCAGGATACAGAGCTAAGAGCAAAAGGTAGGAATTGCAGGGGAGGCACATTTTAGCACATTATGAAAGATAGAGCTATCTTGAAAAGAAATGGGCTTCTCTGCAAGCTTTCCATCAGTAGTTGTGTTCAAGCAGGTAAATCACTTGCTGTGGTTGTTATGGAACAGATTCATACTTTTAGCCAGAGGACTAGCCATAATTCTTGAACTTCTCTTAGGTTATTAGTCAACTATTGTTAATATCATACACATTTGTATCAGAAATGGGGTAGCCTACCTTTATAATCTTGGTCCTTGCAGGTTGTAAAGCTTGTCTAATAAGAGCATGAAGGTACTAGGTGTCTCAAGGTAGTCACTAATTGCAGGAACTAAATATAAATACTTGAAAATGCTAACAAATGTGTATTGAAATTTTTAAGTAGGATAAATAAGACTTAGTTACTTCTGGGGTTGGAATTTAAAAGCCTGGGTATAGACTATAGTTTTTTAAAGTAGGAATTGTGGTAGAATTGCAAAGGTACAACTAAATAAGTTGCCTCTTTTGAGAGAATGCAATGAAGAATGTTGGCCTTTATCCTTTCTGGGTCCCTGTTTGACCTAAATCCAAGTGTTATGGGAATTGTCTTCCCTTCAGCCATCTAAGCAACATGAGCTTTAAGTTTCCTATTTTACTTGAATGATGTGGGGTAAGTCAGTCTTAGCTACTTAAGCAACATCTGTACATGACCCTTCTAGTCTGCCTTCATGTCAGAAAATGACCTGAGCTAGTGACACCAAAAGATCGATGCCGTTGAGTCTGACTTCATGTCATTGTGGGTTGAAGAACTAGAGGAACATAGGCACATCACTGTACACAAGTAGAGAAAGTAGATCAATACCAGTTCAAATAATGTGTTCTAGCAGGAGCTGGAGTGGGGAGCAAAGCAAAGGGTCTGGTTTTTTGCTTTCCAAAATGTGGTTTAGGTTCCTCTGGATTTGTAGTGAGACATTCCTCTTGTGGGTCATCACGCCATGAATTCACACTCAGGAATGCTCTAAGAATTACTGCTTTTGGCACTCTTGGGGTTAGGGAGAGAAATGAGAATGGTTTTATCAAGAAGTCAAGTGAAGATTCAAGGGGGCTGTGAGAACCTCTTGGGTGTCAGTACTTTAGACCTCTGAATACAAGTTGAAGACCTATCCATGCTTTGAGGAGTGCTGTGTTCCTTCTCCCAAATTATATATCAAAACCTTTACCTCATCTGAACTGTTGATGTACCAGTTACTACTTCATCGCCAACTTTTTGGCTGTTGTTTGACTTAGTCCTAGTCTTTTTTATCCATTGCATTTTTCGGGTATCAGTTAGTTGGCCATCTGGGCTAACCATTGTGGATTAATTTTTGTGTAGGCAATAGAAATCCTCTAGAAAATTTACTGGTCTAAATTCTCTCTTGAATGAGGCTTTGAGTCAGAACAAAAGGGAGGAAAGATTTAGGTGAGTTTTATGTGTAACTTTGTGAGAGGTTTTTTTTTTTTGTATCTTCAGATGTGTTTGGAGATTAAAAGTGATTCAGAAGAGCATGGGGGCGAAGATAATATGAGTTGTAAAAAAATTAAAAATGGAAAATTTAATTTTTGATGGTTTAGTATTTATTTGCCTTTGAAGAGATTAAGATTTTTAAAATAGGGTGCCTGAGAAGAAAGTTTAGCTAAATGTTTCTCTTAGCTGGAGAATATGAGTTTATGTTTAAAGAATCTAAAAATAATGCCTCTGTAGTTATTTAGGTATGATGGCAAAATGATGTTAATTTCCTAACCGCCATATGTTCTAAGAAAAAGAATAAACATAGCATGTAAGTCACATAACTGTAAAAAAAGAACAAAATTAGCCATTTTTGAGTTATGTATTGTTTTTCCTTCAGAGACTTCAAGGTGATCATGATAGTTTATTTGGATAGAAGAATAAGGGATTTAATTGGTCACTTTGTTCAAAAATTTCCTGTTAGACCATCTGTCTTTGGGTTGTTAAATTTAGTTCTGGGTCAGGTTTTTACCATATTAAATTCAGTAATTCTTCATTTGTTTTAGTTTTTCCCATTTTGTGGTTGATGTAGGCTTTTATATGTATTAATACTCAACTCCAGAATTGTAACATTTTTTAAAAAAAATGCTTGGCTTTAAAATATAATTACACTTATATAATCTTAAATTGTAAGCAGAATTTACTTTGACCTAAAATTAAGAAATATCTCTTTAAAAAAAAAACAACTCGGCTCTTGAAATGATTCTCTAAAAGAATTATGTTTTTAGAAAAATGATAAGAGTAATAGTTCTTACAAAATTCAACCTGTGGTTTTCTAACAGTTTTCTCATTTTTGTGACCCTTTTAGAGAAAAAGAATGTTGAACAGTAATAAGCTAAATTATGTATACTTTTAGTTGTTATTTTAAATTGTCTTTTCTTCTTTGACTACTACACTTCTACGAGAAGGCCTCTATTTCCTTTTCTTGACCTAGCCCATTATCTATTTACCTTACCACGTGTATGGTAAGGGACAGTCACCTCACCTCCCATGTTATTGGTTCCATTTCAGCTACCTTCTTTATTTGACCTTAAGACTCTCTTTTTCGTCTTCATCTACCTGTGTAGCCTGGCACATAGAAGCTTAAAATAAATGCTTGTTGATAGATTGGTGTAGTACCATTATACACCTTCCCAGCACATTATTTTCTAGTCCTCTTACCTCACCCAAGTATAGTCTGTCTCCCTCTTTCTCTACCTCCACTCCCACCCCACCCCTTCTCTGCTTATAACTCTTCCTAGGGAATGAAGTAAGACACTATGGAAGGTAGCGTTAGATGGCATCAATACAGTGTAGAGCTGGAATTTAGAACTGAGATGGAATTGTATGGAAAGAGCATGAGGAGCCTTGAAAGTCAGGTTTGGAGTGTTAGAGAAAGCGAAATGTTAAGAGAGAGAAGAGTAAGGGTTAGAGAAAGTATCTGATTTGAGTTTATCTGAGGATTTTTTTTTTCTCATTGTACCATGAGATGAAAGCCAGCTAGAGGATTGACTGTATAGGGCCATAATGGGGCTATCTGTTGTTAGACAAGGACTGCTTCATTCTAGGTACTTTACTGTCTTGCTGAAATACTCATTTTATGATAGTCTTATCACAATACTAACTTGTTCTTCCACTTCCCTTCATGGTGTTAATGAATTTGGCCAAATCCTTAAGGCTAAATGTACAAAAAATATTTACTTTCTGAAAAAATGAAATAAAAGCTTTTCTTGATTATCTTTAAAAATCTTCTCACTTTATAAAGCATTGTCATTACTATTTTATTTAAGTCTTTATTGAGTTTAATTATTTTCTAGATACTTTTAAACAATTCATTTTGAGATAAGATTACTGTTAACTGAATTGAATAATATGCCTAATAGGTAATTATATATTTTCATTTCATATTTATTGTAAAGTACATAAAATTACAAGTTATTTAACTTATTAAAGTTTTAACTTGGTGGATAGTATTCATTGCTGAATATACTTCTTGAAAAATTCTTTCCTAAAATGCAGATTGCAAAAGAAGAAGAACGAGAAAAGAAGTTTTCTAGAAGGTTAAATCATAGTCCTCCCCAATCAAGTTCCCGCTACAGAGAAAATAGGTGATAAATTCCTTAAAAGTTGTTAAGCTCAAATGATTAAGATTGTTGAATGCTTACTTTAGACTTAAGTTAGCACTGTATATATAGTGATTGGGAGTATAATTGGTCCCAAGAAGATCTGGGACTTCTTTGTATATGATCTCTTAAGAACTTTCAGCTTCACACTCTGATTCCATTTATTTGTTTCTTCCCTTAGAATTTATAAGGCACAGATTATCTGCAAAGCATTGTACTAGGGCTAAGGGAAAAGATAGAGATGATTTAGACATAAGCTCTGTCATCACGAAGGGTCTTTTATGCAAAACAGATATGTGTGCCTATTAGTGGCAACTAGATGGTGAAGTGGGTAGAGTGCTGGGCCTGGAGTCAGGAAGACCTGAGTTCATATATGGCCTCAGACATTTCTTGTAGGGGTAATAATTCATTTGTAAAATAGGAATAATAATAGCACCTGCCTCCACATTTGTTGTGAGGAACAAATGAAATAATCATTGTAAAGCATTTAGCAAAGTGCCTGGCACATAGTAAGTACTATGTAAATATTAGTTATTATTATTATTAGTTACTCATACTGTACAATGAATGGTAATGCAATAGCTATATAACAGGAAACTAGGATAAGTAAAAAGGGCTATTCTAGGTCAGAGAAAAAAATCATTTTTCTTATAGATTATAGGATTTGGAGGTAGAAATGGTCATAGAGATTATCTTGGCTAAATTCCTGATTTTATAGATGAAAGAAAGGAATTAAGGTCTAGATGATTACCTGGGTAGGACTAAGGAAGACATCTTGGAGAAGCTGGTATTTGAACTGGTTTTTAAAGGAAAGGTAGGATTTCAAAATACTGAGATTGGGGAATGGGTTTGGTAAGGCATTCTAGACATAGAGAACAGCATGGGCAAGTAGGGGACATTATCCAACACAATTCTGTTTCTACTTCCTAAGAGTACTTCATGGTACTCACTTTAGTCATTAAATACCTAAAAGTATTTTCAAGGTTGGGTTATATCACACATTAGAAGGAATAGGATGACTTATTTTTCTGTTGTTTTCTTTTCCGCATTAGGATAACTATTAAAAAGTGATCATATTCTAGGATGTGGGTGGTGGGATATAACCTTAAGTAATAGGAGTTTGAAGGAAAATTTGTCTTATATTTCAGTGCAACCGAGAATCAGTAATGAAGAGAATACCTTTAATATAATTTGTTACCTAAGAATAGATATGCAGTTGAATGAGTACTTATTAGATACTAAAAAAAAAGGGGGGGTTTTGAGTCGAATTTAAATCTCATTTTTCTTTTATTAAAGAAAAGTATGGATTTTAGCTAACATCTACTAGAATTTCGTATTCTAATGCAACATTTTCCTCGGGTACTTCATTTGGCCTGTGATTTTTTTTCCCTTTTATTATGTCAGCATCTTTCTATGCAAAAAACAAAACAACAAAACATTTAGAGTTCTATGTGTGTGATGCAGTCAAATGTCTTATATTTGGAGATGGAGACTGTTGAACTTGTAAATTTTAGATCATCAGAACCTCATCTATAATTTGGTTTTTAAAGTTTTTTTTTCCCTTTTAAACAAGTTAGAGTAGGAAAGCAAGACATTTTTATTTTTGCTGTTTCTAAAGATTAATAACCTTTTTATGATTGTAAGACTGATGAATGATTTGGATATGAGATTTGGTGATAACTTGTAGATTTTTTAACTGGAAATTTTGTTTCTAGTAGCTTAAATTTGTAAGTACCCTAAAAAATAGTAATTTGATTGTAGGAGCCGAGATGAACGAAAAAAGGATGACCGTTCTCGAAAAAGAGATTATGATCGAAACCCACCTAGAAGAGATTCGTATAGAGACCGGTACAATAGAAGAAGAGGGCGGAGCCGAAGTTATAGTCGAAGTCGGAGTCGGAGTTGGAGTAAAGAGCGGTTGCGAGACAGAGACAGAGATAGAAGCAGGACTAGAAGCCGAAGTCGAACGCGAAGCAGAGGTAAGCAGAAATAATGAATACCCTTCCTTCTCCATTTCTCTCTCTTTTCTGTTCCCCTAGCATTTTATTTTAGATTTCTATTAAAACTTCAATTAGCCACTCTTCATATTTAAGAGTTTAGCTTTAATCTTATGATAGTTTATGTAAATTTAACAATTTGATTTATGTTAAGAGAGTAAACTTGCTGTTTTTCTTTATTGATTACACGTTGGTGAAGCCTTTGCATTGGTTTTTAGTTGAGTGTCATTGTATGTGTCCTTAGGTGAATGTAATTCTCATTATACCTTGTTGAAGGGACTATGATATAGCAAAGTAATGAAAAAGCATGATTGATGTCATCCACTCTTAACTCTATTATTGTCTTGATTATACACTTCTGGGATCTTTTTTCTTTCTTTACTAATGACTTGGCTCTAGCTTTCTGTTAATTCTTTTTGGAGTATTCTCTTCTGACCCAAGACTTCAGTCACTTCAAAGCTCAGAGAAAGATGAAGAATGATTTAAAGATACATGGAGCAGTGAAGGAAAAGAAATTAGTGATAGTCACTTCTGTTTTGTTCCATTTTCACTTTATCTTTAGAACTTAGTCTGGAATGGAATGGTATACAGCTTGTTCAAATTACATAGGAAATGTTTCTGGTCTTGTCCTCTTTCTTATCTCTTGCATTCATTCATCTTTACATCTCATTTAGTTTTGAGTGAGAATGGAACAGTGACGGATAAAGAAACTTAAATATGTGAATACCTGGCATTTTCTAATGGAATGTACCTTATTTTTAAATGTGAATTTCTTGTCTGGATTTAAAATTGCTAGTTTGGAGTTTCATGGGTAACAACCTTTTCTTATTTATATTTACTCATCATCTATCTAATATAGTGCCTTGCATTTAGTAAGCATTTATAAGCTCATAGGTTTTAGGACTTAAAGGATATTCAAAGAAGATCTAGTTCAGTCCTAACATTTTACAGATGAGGAAACAGGCATGTAGCTTCTTCAAGATTATGAAAGATAGTGAGTATCTGAGCTAGAATTTGAATTCCCATTCTTTGACTCCAAATTCAGGCTTTCCATTACACCATGCTGTTTCTCTTAAGTAAATGCTTGTCAAGTTGATATTGAATGAATTAATAGCTGAATGAATGGATTATAAAGACTGACTCTAGAAGTTAATGTGAAGTCTCCAAAAGATGCTCTGTTGGAAAACTTTATCTTATTTATTTATTCATTCGTTTTTTGTTTGCTTTGGGTTTTTTCTAGGCAATGGGGTTAAGTGACTTGTCCAGGGTTACACAGCTAGTGAGTGTTATGTGTCTGAGGCTGGATTTGAACTCAGGTCCTCCTGACTCCAGGGCCAGTGCTCTATCCACTGTGCCACCTAGCTGCCCCTGTTGGAAAACTTTAAAGGGAAGCTTTTTTTAAAAAATTTTATTAGTTTATTTTGATTTATCAACAATCACTTCCATATGCTTTTGAGTTTTAAATTTTTCTCCTCCTTCCTCCCCACCATCTTCCCCAAGACGGTGCACAATCTGATATAGGTTATACATTTACATTCCTATTAAACATATTTTCACATTAGTGAAGTTGTAAGTAAAAATTAAAACCAATAGGAGGAACCATCAGAAAGATGAAACAAAACTCAACAGAAGGTAAAAATAAGTTACAGTGATTCGACTTCCATAGTTCTTTGGATGTGGACAGCATTTTCCATCACGAGGCCTCTGGAGATGTCTTAGATCCTTGTATTGCTGAGAAGGGTTAAGTTTAACAATATTAGTCATCGCACAACATGGCTGTTATTGTGTGCAAAGTCCTCTTGGTTCTGCTCACTTCACTCAGCATCAGACCATGTAAGTCTTTCTGAAGTCAGCCTGTTCATCATTTCTTATAGCACAATAGTATTCCATTACATTCATATACCACAACTTGCTCAGCCATTCCCCAGTTGATGGGCATCCTCTCAATTTCCAGTTCTTAGCCACCACAAAAAGAGCTGCTATGAATATTTTTGTACATGTGGGTCCTTTTCCCATCTGTATGATCTTAAAGCGAAGCTTTTAAAGAAAATATTTTAAGCAAAAAAATCACTGAAAATAATTTATTTTTATGTTCTAAAAAACTTAATTCCTGTTTTCATGATTCATGCTGGCAGCTGGGTTAGTGTAGCATATAGAGAGTTGGACTTGGAGTCAGGAAGCCCTGAGTTCAGATCTGACTTCAGACACTTATTAGTTGTGTGACACCCTAGGCAAATCACTTAATTTATCTGTCTCGGTTTCCTCATCTGTAATATGGGGATAATTGTGCTAACAGCTATTCCCAGGGTTGTTCTGAGGATAAAGTGAGATAATATTTGCAAAATGATTTGCAAGCCTTAAAGTGCTATATCAGTGCTAGCTATTATTAATTTAACTATGTGATTTTCAAATTAATTAACTAATTAATATCTTCTCCTGAGAATCAGCAAGAGTAGAGGACCAGTTTTGGAATCATTAAACCCTGAGTTGAAATCCTGCTTTTTACTCTTACTAGTTGTTTGACCATGGACAAATCACTTATGTTTTTAGTGAACCAAGCAGTTCTCTAAGACTGTGTTTAAGTCACGGAAGGAGTTTACACCTTGGGAGTTTGTCATGTTCCCAACCCCCAGTGAAATCAAGTATTGCTCTACCTACCCTCATCCTGTTTAACATAAATGATAAATCTGAAATATGATGGGTAAGATGTGGGCAAGAAGCTTTAGAAAGTCAGAGGAGGATGTTGCTAGAAGAGAGAGGATTGATATATATGAAGTCTTAAATTTTTATTTCATATTTTTATTTCTGAAGCAGAATATTCTTTAAGTTCTTTAAAATGAGATTTTCTAAAGCATCTTTTACAATAATATGTTTTTAAAAATCATATTTTCTTGTAGAAAGAGATCTGGGAAAACCAAAATATGACCTGGATAGAACAGATCCATTAGAAAACAACTATACTCCAGTTTCTTCTGTAACTAACATTTCGTCTGGCCACTACCCTGTTCCTACTTTGAGCAGTACTATTACTGTTATTGCTCCAACTCATCATGGTAATAACACTACGGAAAGCTGGTCTGAATTTCACGAAGACCAGGTGGACCATAACTCTTATGTAAGACCTCCAATGCCAAAGAAACGTTGCCGAGATTACGATGGTAAGTCATTCAGCTTTTGTGTGCTAAGTATATTCTGTATGACAAAATGTGTTATACATATCTAATTCAGATACATGTTGCTGATAGTGGGAGTAGTTGAAATTAGTGGAAATTTCCCTTTTTTTAAACCAAAATAATGTTGTCCCTCTTAATTAAATGCTTCAGTTTTGTCTTTTCCCCCATATGTTGAAGCAAATGATGGGATGTCAGTTTTTAAGTACCATTTATTTGAAAAGTAATGCTGCTTTTCCCCCCAAAACCACAGTAAATTCCTATGAATGTGCTTTTTCAAAGAAACTGCTACTAAAACATTTTTTAATTAACAGGGAAAAACTTCTTAGGAAACGGGAAATAATATACACATATTGGACCTAGACATTTGAGTGTCTCCTATGTATAAGAAAATTGATGAGAAGGTAGATGAACAGGGAGCTTTGGAGGAAGATTTTACTGTGAATGCCAAACTTCAGTACTTCAAAAGATCTGTTATTTCATCAATGTGGGTACTCCCTCCACCAACGCAGATGGCAACCCCTTTTATGCCTTAGTGTAGAGAGTTTCAAGGCTGCTAGGGCTGAGTAAATTAGTTATTTACCTAGTAGTCAATGTTTTGTTAACGTCTCTTTGAATTTAGCTAGTCTGGTCCTTAAATACATATTGCCACTGGGCCTCTTTTTGAACCCCTTATATCTTTGTAAGGATTCTGCCAGAGCTCTTGCTCCAGTGGCTTAGCCTTTGGTAACCTAGGGTCATTCTTATATGATAATTAGCCATTGGAAAAGGACTTTAGTGGAAGAAATGCTAAGCACTGCCAGAAAATGAATGCTTGATTTCTAAAATTAGTTATTATGGTTGCATTGTAATAATTATGTACTAGGTATTCTATCTCATTTATGTTTACATGTGTAAATTTTTGTCTTTGAGTCTTTTTTAGTATTATCCTATATGTAACATTGTTTCTTTGATGGGTCTTTTGTCATTGAGAAGCAACAGAGAGCTGTTATTTGAAATGGCCAATTATATTTCCCCAATTAAAGTAAAAAAAAAAAATCACAATATACCCACACAGAGCATGTTTTTAGAATACTTCTAATTTGTTAGCTCGCACAAATTTTTGCAGAGTGGTTTCAAAATTACAGATGTTCTTTATTTTCACATTTTCTTATGACTTAATAAGGTTTGGTTTTTTTTTTTTTCCTCTCAGAAAAGGGTTTCTGTATGAGAGGAGACATGTGCCCTTTCGATCATGGAAGTGACCCTGTAGTTGTAGAAGATGTAAACCTTCCTGGCATGCTGCCTTTCCCAGCACAACCACCTGTTGTTGAAGGACCACCTCCTCCTGGACTTCCCCCACCTCCACCAATTCTGACACCTCCACCTGTGAATCTTAGACCTCCAGTGCCACCTCCGGGTCCATTACCACCTAGCCTTCCTCCTGTCACAGGTAAACAAATGTGTTTGTGTAAAATTTGTGTGTGTTTATATCTCTATATACTCATATATAGCTATATCTAGATATAGCTGTATGGGTATATTTATGTTTTTTCGTTTCTAAAATAAGCTCATTTTGCTAATTGGCTATTTTATTTTTATTAAAACTGGCATTTAATGTTTTGAATCTATTGAGAATTTGAAGAAAATTCAACAATACTCAGTTTTAGGAAAACAGAAAAACTAAAATAGTTGGGTTATGGTAGGGTCACTGTTCTGTTAGTGGGGCCATTTGACCTTATTTTATTTATCTTCTTTATGACCCTGTTTCTCTTCTTCTGGATTTTATATTTTGTTGTGAAAATATTTGATCTTCTCAGGATCAAATTAACAGTAAGCCACTTCATTTCTAGGGGGGAATGAAACTTGTTTTTTATTTGCTTAATGAAGAATTCAGATATTAAATACATTTTTTCAGAAAAATATAAATAGTAGCATTTAATTAAGGTAATTATTTGTCGCACTAGATAGAGAGCACTTGAATAAGGTAATTAATTGTTTTGATCAGTGTTGAGAAAACTAGTTTGTGCTACCAAACCTCACTACTGTTTTTCTGATTGTCTTGAATTTTACTCCTGAAAGAGCAAACCTGATTCATAAAAGACATTTTCATTTTTAAGAGATCATTCTGATCATCATGGAATCCTAGAGTTGTAAGGAATGCAAAGGTCATCTAGTAAAACTACAATTAAGGCCTATGTCCTGTCAGAGGTCATCTAGTACAACTAAGGCCTATGTCCTGTCAGTGCTTCCAGACTTCCTTGAAGAATTTTGGATAATTTATCAGTTAGGAATTTTTTTCTTTATGTTGAGTTGAAATCTACCTGCTTTTTATTTCACCCTTTGATCTTATTCTTGCTTTCTGAGGTGTAGCAGAACTGTAATCCTTTTTGCATATGATAACCCTTGAAGTGTTTGAAGATAGAATTATATTTCTCCTTTCTCCAATATAAATTCCCATTTCATTCGTTTGATGTTTGGTGTGGTTTCACCTTTTCTTACCTCTGGGATGACTTTGTTGGTCCTCTAGCTTTTCCATGTTCAACTTGAACAAGATATGGTACTCAAGATGTCGTTTGGGGGCAGCTAGGTGGCGCAGTGGATAGAGCACCGGCCCTGGATTCAGAAGGACCTGAGTTCAAATCCGGCCTCAGACACATAGCGCTTAATAGCTGTGTGATCCTGGGCAAGTCACTTAACCCCATTTCCTAGCAAAAATAAAATAAACAAAACAAAGATGTGGTTTGACCAGGACTACCATCTGTCTTTTTCTCAGTACTGCTTCTATTAGTGTAGCCTAAGAGTACTATTTTTGGCTGCCAAATAATATTCTTGTCCTATGTTGAGCTTGTTGTCCTTCAAAATCCTCAAGTCTTTTTCATGTGAACTTCTTTCTCACACTGTCTCTTCTATCTTGTAGCTCTAAATTTAAATTTTTTGCACCCAAGGGCAAGACTTTACATTTATTCTTAGTAGATTTTCTCTTCTTGGATTCAGTCCAGTGTTCTTTCCAATTGAGAAGTTTTTGATTTTTTTTTAATCCATTGTATAAGGAATCTCAGCTTCATGTCATTTGCATATATGGCAAGGATGCCTTTCTGTCTCTTCCAAATGCTCTGTTTCCTTCCTCCCTCCCTCTCTCCCTCCCTCCCTTCCTTCCTTCCTTTCTCCCTTCCTTCTTTCCTTCCATCCATCCCTCCTTCTTACAGTTAGGAGACAGGGTCACGTAGTCAAGTGTTTTAGGTTGGATTTGAGCTCAGGTCCTCCCAACGCCACTGCTAGTGCTCTATCCACTGCACAAGTAGTTGGCCATCAAATGCTCTGTTTTCTTAAGTCTTCTTAAGCAGTCTTTTTTTTTAAAAAAAAAAAATTAGGGGCAGGTAGGTGGGGTAGTGGATAGAGCACCAGCTCTGGAGTCAGGACTTGAGTTGAAATCTAGCCCCAGACACTTGACACTCACTACCTGTGTGCTCTGGTCAAGTCACTTAACCCTGATTGCCTTGGCAAAAAAATTTTTAGCATTCATTTAAAAAAAATGTTGAGGTGCAAATTCTGTCCTCCCCACTTCCTCCCCCCTCCATTAAGAAGTCAAGTAGTATCAATTACACATGTGAAATAATGCAAAACACATTTCCATATTAGCCATGTTGCAAAATAAACAATGAAAAGCAAGAAACAAAATGAAAATAAGTATGCTTCAATCTCAGAGTTAATGAGATCTTTCTGTGGAGGTGGATAGCATTTTTCATCATGGGTCCTTTGGAATTGTCTTGAGTCATCACATTGATCAGAGTAGCTAAGTCTTTCACAGTTGTTCATCCTTAAAATGTGGCTGTTGCTGTGTACAATGTTCTCTTGGTTCTGCTTACTTTACTTTTCATAAGTTTTTTGGAAATAACCCTGCTTGTCATTTCTTATAGCACAATAATGACAAAAGAATTTTAAATGTAGTCTGAACTGGACTGGTGTCTAAACTGTGAATTGCCGGAGCTGAATAAAGCAGACCAGAGGCTGATGAGTCAGGAATCAAAAGCAGTTTAATTTCAGAGTGAAGAAAACAGATTTGGAAACAGAAATTTTGAGTAGAGGGGCCTGTGGCTTGTGGCAGTGGTAGGATTTATAAATTTGAAAACCACAAAAAGACAGGACCCAAAACAATCATTCTTAAGTCTTGAGTAAACAGTTCCCACAGCAGGCCCATGCATGCAGGCATTTTTGGGATAATAGAGGCATTCTTGTGTCCAATGGGAACAGTATGATCATTCAGCGGAGTACAGAGCCAGAGTTAGTATGGTGGGAACAGGAGTGCAGCCTCTGGTTCTGTTCACTTACTAGTTAATAAGCACAGGAATTGTTAGAATGTCAGAATGTCAGAAGATGTGATTGACCCCTTTCTGTTGCAGAGCATCAGCTGTAGCTATAGCTCTCAGTTCATAATGTCCTGGGAAATAGGAGAGCTCTAACATATCTAGATAGTATAGTCATTACACATATCTATTATTATGAAATCATAAGTCCCATGACAGTATTCCCTCCTTTCGGTCAAAGGCCAGAACATTCCTGTAGACAGCTGGGGAACAACTTCCCGAAACATGATTTTGATTTTATGTAAGATAGAAGTGAATGGGTGAGATACAAGGTGAATGCTAAGATAGGCAGCAAGGCACATGAGGAAGAGAGACATCAGACCAGAGGGCAGAGTGGGAGAATGCTTCTAAAGTTTCAAAGCAACCAGGAGAATGGGTCAAAGGAAGATAAAAGGGAGAGACATGCTTCAGTATGTTGAGGCCCCTGTTCTATAAATCTTCCACTAGCCTGTTTAGAGCACTAAGATCCTCCTGTTTGAGAGAGGACTGGTTGACATAGAAACAACATTTCTCCCCAGTGAAGGCAGTGGGGTGTCTAGCACCTAGCGATTTTGTAATACCATGAGGGCAAGTGAATCAGCCTGCTTTTGTGATGAGCCTTCCAGTGTGCTCCAGGCCTGCAGAGGGGTACAGTGTGCCAAAAGTGGCTGTGCTACCAGTCAGGGATCCTGTGGCTGCCAACAGAGCTACAATAGGCCGGAAAGTGAGCCTCTGCTGTCGGTGGAAGGACAGTGTTGATTGGGGAGGAGCTTCAGAGTAGTTCCCTAGAAGTAGGGATAATTTGGGTATGGTATAGACCAGGGCACGGAGCCCTTCCCAGAAGGGAGTGAGGCTATCATATAGAGTAGAATGAAGAGGGGTAATTCTACTGCAAGGGCGGGTGTGGCAGGGAGGTGTTAGAGGTTAAAGCCTGGAGTAAAGTGCCTCCAGGCATGGATGTTCAGCACTGGTATTGTTATGGAACAAGAGACCATTCTGGGATTCCCACACTATCTTGGAAATAGAATATATGCCTTTATGGTTATCTTTATTCTGGATAAAGGTCCAGAATCTGATGCCTAATTTGTTAGGGCAGGCTTCCACACTCCACTTGCTACAGGTGAGCATTTGTAGTGTTATGAGATGCCCCAGCCCCTGTTGGGGAAATCTGTGACCATAGAAGCTGGCCAGAGATGTTAAGTGAGGTGATTTGGGGAGCAACCCATGAGGAGTTCAGAATGAAGGTAGAATTACATTGCATGGGATTTGATGATCTAAGGTGGGGGCTCATATTGCTACTTGTACCCAGGATGTGGAGCAGAGCCTGATTTTGTAGAGAGACTCCTGAGTGCAGTGGATCCCATAGGTATAGGTCTGATATGCTAGGGGCCCTAAATTCCATGGTCTAGTTTTCTGTTTCTCAGTTAGGGTAGTATTGCGTCACAGTCATGTACCCAGTTGATGCACATGCTCTCAGTTTCCATTTGTTTGCTACCACAAAAAGAGCTGCTGTATTTTTGTACATATAGGTCCTTCTTCTCCCTTCCCACCCAATTAAAAAATCTCTTTGAGGAAACAGGTCTAGTGTTGGTATTGCTGAGATGAAAAAGTATGAATAGTTATTGTAGCCCTTTGGGCATAATTCCAGATTATTCTCCAGAATGGGTGGACCTGTTTACAACTCCACCAACAGTGCATTAATACTGTCCCTATTTTTGCACATCCCCTCTGGCATTTATTGTTTTCCTTTTCTGTCATGTTAATCAATCAGATAGTTATGAGGTATCTCAGAGTTGTTATCATTCTTATTTCTCTAAATGATATGATTTTAGAGCATTTTTTATGTGACTGTTGATAGCTTTGATTTCTTCTGAAAACTGCCTGTCCATATCGTTTGACCATTTGTCAATTAGAGAATGGCTCCTATTTTTATAGATTTGGCTCATTTCCATATATATGTATATAAGAAATGCAGCCTTTATCAGAGAAACTTGCTTTAAACATTTTCTTCCAGTTTTTTGCTTTCTTTCTAATTTTGGTTGTATTGGTTTTCTTTGTATAAAAACTTAAATTTCGTGTAATTAGAATTGAAAATATGAATTATCAT